ACGGCGGGGAGGGGGCTCCGTGGGATGGAGGGGGTGCACGGACAGCTGTGCCTGTTCTGCTTTCAGAAAAGGAGTTGTTCAAAGTGAGCTTGTCCCGACATTGCCCGGAGAATTGTGATTTCTTGCCTTTTGGGACACCCGGTCAGCAGATCCCGAGAGTCTGGGAAAAGAGAGTTTTGTAGTTGAACTCCTTGCATGCAGCAAGGGAGGACACTGTGGGTTTATTTCTCCCCGATGAGGAAGAAATGACAGCTGCATGATTTAATCCTTTCCTCTGATGATGGTCAGAGATTTACCAATAAATGCAAAAAAGCAGCCAGTCAGTTTACAGTTTCTAAACAATGGAAGATTTTTTTATAAGTGGAAATTCGGGGTTTTTTCCCCTTGAACTGAAAACATTGTGGTATGATTCTAAGTAGTATAGCCTGTTGTGCTAAGTTGTCTCCCTGGCTTTTTAGTTTATTGAGCATAGTAGACTCTCTGGTTCAAAGACAAAGTGTCAGTGATCTGAAAGTTTATTTTGCAGTAATAAAGTGCTATTGTTTTACCTAAGGATTTGCATAAACATTTCTCATATAATTTACATTGTAATGTAATCATTTTATATGATAGAATTATCTTGTTCAAAAAGCATGGCTAAATCATGTCATGATAGTTTCTGGTGAAGAAACAAGGCTTACTTAATATAGTTAAAAGAAAAACAAGAAGAACCACAATCCTATAAAACTAAAACCAAAGTATTATTCTGTTCTCTTCACTGCAAGGATATCCTCAACCCTTATGGCATTTTATGTTTTTCCTTAGAAAGAAATCAGAAGACATATTTCCCTAAAATTTGAGACTTTTTTAAAAACTGAAATGCTCTTGGGATGGTGTTTGAAGGAGGTTGCCAGGCTGCTCAGCGGTAGTTTCTGCCCAGGCGAATGGAAGGGCAATCACCACATTTCAGTCAGAAAAGCTCAAATTGCTCTTTACTGGCCCCCCAGTCGCTAGAACTTGATTCCCCCAAGGTACTTTCTGGCCAGAGATGACGCTCTTGATTACAAAAATGGAGGTCTCCTGGTAATTGCATTTGATTTATTCTTCCGTATCACGGAGAACGAGTCAGTGTGATTCTTTGGAAGTATGAACTCTTACAAATGCTAAGAGTGTGGGGAGAAAGAAAACAGCAATTTTTATTATCTTCTTAACAACAGCCCACAGGAATGGGCTTTGCAGTGAGTGCAGCTTACAAGTTCCCCTGCCTCAGCTTTGGCCTTTCCTGAGGGCTGCTGGCACAGACAGAAACCCTGACTGGCCAAAAATCCATCAGGGGAAGCAATAATCAAAGAGGGGGAAAGGAGGCCGTGGGATGCATTAAGAAAAGAGCTCTAAAAGGTCATTAGTAGAAATGCAGAGGGGAGCCCCACTCCTGAGGGTACCCCAGAGACAGCCTGTGGCTGCTCAATAAGATCCAAGGGGGATCTGGAGCATCTCTTGGGGCCAGGCAGCACCTGATGTAGGTGATATCTCATGGTTCCCTGGTTATTTGTCTCTTAGGACTGCTAAGAAGTGATGCTGTATGCTATGGCTTTTGTCATTGACTTTACACCTTTCCACAGTGGTGGAGTCTGCCTCTCTATCTAAAATTAATGTCACAGAGAAAATGTCCTGAGGCAGGTGGTAATTTGTCTGAGGGGGGCAGAACCTGCCCAGGCTGGTGAGGTTTATTCAGCAGGGACTTGATACTACTCTCATTCAAGTGGATAATAAAACTCCCATTGATGTTTTTAATCACTGATGATTTCTGTGGGCTCTCGATTACCACTGCAGGCATGTCCAGAGTGTTTGAGTGTGTGGTGGGGGGTGCACAGCGTAGAGAAGTCTGCTGTATCCTGTTTTTGTAAAGGGCTTTTCCTCTTAGTAGTTGTAGTGAAAACAAACATGTGGGAGAACAATGGTACTTTTTTTCTGTTTTCCTCTAGATTTTTAAATACAACAAAAAGCCAATTAGAATTAAATAAAGCGCATTAACATAAAAGGGATTCCTATATGTTAATAAGGAAAATGAGCGTAACTACTTGAACATACAGTGACAAGCACAAAGGTCATTTGCCTTCTTGATCCCAGCCTGTGTTTTTCCAGTTGAAAGCCTATTCATTAAATACCCGTGAAAACAGAGTACTGGTAAAGAACAATGCCTGTGCCATAAAGTTGTTATCTGTAGGAGAGTTCACACCCCAGAGAAACACCCTTGCATGCTGCTGGGCACTCTGCAGGCTTTGGAGTTGGCAGCTCAGCAGGGACCAAAGGGGAGTCTGCAGAAAGGATTTCCTTTCTTCAGATAAACGCAGCGGTATTGTATTTGTTGTGTCTAAAATGTTTTTCAATGAGCAAACGAGGATAATTCTAGTTGCTGTAAAAATGGAAGTAATAGTAAAGATGTTAATGCTTTCTAGGAGTCAAAATTGGAATCACCAATGAATTGCTCCCAAGAAAACAGGAACTAGGATAAAGTACAGTATGTGAGGTGGGACAACTGCCTTCAACTGCTCCCATTTAAATTACATGTGTTTTAGAGAAAAATCTGACATTGATTCTTCCTTCCATATGAGAGGTGGAGGATCTACTCTAAGAGATAGTTAAGGGTACAGTTAGCTGTTTACAAAGTAAAATTACTACTGTTTGAACATATATTGTGTGGCTGCTTAGCTGCAGCTTTCTGCCATGAGTCACTTTTCCCCTGGGAAGTGGAAACCCCTCACCTCTGACATTGCTCTCTCCATGCAGGTGCTGCAGTTCACGACCACATCTGGCCTTCACCTTCTCAGCAGCAGATCAGGATCCCAAAGCCCTTCACTACAGGTGGGTTTCCTGTGCCACAGTCATCATCCTCCCTGCTGCTCTCCCTTTCTCATTGTCTTTTCTGAGTGGCAAATTGCAGTTTTCAGTGTGTTTATATGGAAGGAGATTATTCATGCTGCTGACAAAGTCCAAGACTCCTCTGACAGAGTAGCTTGCACTTGACTTTTTAAAGATACCATATCCTGGGCTCTCCAGGTATCACAGACTTAGTTTTGCTTTATCACTGGTTTAATAAACTGGTGTCACTGGTTTATTAAAAAAGAGCTGCTTGTCATTGTTGGCTGAAGTGCAGCTGTGTGTGGACACCAAGGTAGGGACACTTTCCAGATGCCATCCATCAGTGGGCAGGTGAGAAAGGCTGAGGAATATTGGTAGGACCAGATTTCATCCCAGTGTGTTCTGTTTCTGTTGAGGTCAAAGTGCTTTGTGAAATCAATATGAATTTTAAGGGATTATTTTAAGAGAGGGAAAAATGGATAAGGTACAATTATATCAAGTACCACATTGAACGTTATTTGGAGTGTAAGATTTTGGATTTATTTTGAAACAACATATCCTTTCAAGAATTGGTATGCTCTTATTCAGTTCTAACACATACTACAAAGTCAAAAAGAACAGTTTAGAAGAGCCTGAAACCAAGGGAAGCAGCTTTTTGCCATCATTCTCCTGAGAACTGTATGCATCAGGGTTTTGGCTCCAAGTCATAGTGATGCTAAATTTAAAAATCCTTTCAAAACAGGGCTCAACCTTTCTCACAACTCTCTTAATAAAAAGCTCAATGTTGAAGTGATAATGTTCGGAACAAAGAACACTTAGTATAAACATTTAGCTTGTACTAAATAAATTACACTTGGTCTTACAGTCACGTTACTGGTGACAGCTTGTACAGCCTGCACCCTTCCCCTGTAATTCACCAGAATGAAGCAAATATACATTGTTGGGAAAAATTTCTTGACTTTTGTCAAAGAGCCCAACTGCTGTCAGCAAACATATTGTGGGAATATGAATCTGGAAACAAACAGATCATTAGAGGGTAAGTTAAGGTTTTGTGATTTAATTCTAAACATGTTGAGTGAGTGAACCAGAGATGTGCAATGCCAGAAAAACTGTGCACCAAAAGGGTTTTTTTCTTTAATGAAAGCTGGTATTTTTATTGAATACAAAGTACTTTGGGTGACAAAGATGGCTACGTATGGAAAATATGAAGTTTTGCTTGTTCTGGAGAACCATGAAGATCATTTGATTAGAAGTAATGTTGTGCCAATGCAAGTTTAACATTCTTTCCTTGTGGAAATTATTCATCCATTTACAGAACTGTATTAAAGTACAATAATTTTCCAGTATGTGAGGAAAAAGAGAATATATACAGAGGATCTCTGCTAGGACAGGAAGTAATGATGTGGGCTTGCATCTCTGGTTGGATATTATCCATGCTTTGGCCTGTTACAACTGTACCAAGGGTTGAGAAAATGAAACAGCTTCCCCAGTCAGAGCATCTTTTTTGGGAAAAGCCTGAGCTGAGGCTGTGGTACTGCCCAGCCTGCTCTGACTGCCACAGCCACTTGGGTCAAGGACCATCAGGAAGGCAGGGAGCCAGAGGAGCTCTTTGCAGTCTCATGAGAGGACTTGGAAATCATCTGTGGAATCCTGAGAGGGCACAACCGTTCTCAGCCTTTTAGAGAAATGTAGTCATGTCGGGGCAGGAAGGAGGAAGGGAGCCAGGCCCCACTCCCCAGCATGAGACCCTGCATCCCTTGGGATGGGCCAAGTGCCTGTGACCAGGCTTGGGTCTCTTCTGGCCTTTCATTCTTGTGACACATGTCGAAGCCCTCCCCCGTGTCTGGACACATCACTGCAGAACGGATATCCTCATCTGCCCCTGCCCCTGTTCTGCAGGGACAGCCACAAGGCGGTCTGTGTCCTTGTGTACTTTGGCAGATGCTGGAGCTTCGCTCTCTCAGGGAAAAGCTGCTTTGGTCTCTTCCCTTCCTATAGCCAGACAGCTACTGTCTTGGCCTCAGTGCTCTCTGAAAGGCAGCCTGAGCTGCTCTGCTGTATTTGAGAGGAGAGGGCTACAGTGAGGGAGCAGCAGGAGATCTTCACTTCAGAGTGTACCACAAGGCCCATGCAGATCTGGAAGACTTCACAGCTGGCTCATCTGCCAGGCACCTATCCCTGGAGCACTTGCTTCAGTCAATAGCAGCTCTGCCATTAATGATTGCCTGCAGTGTCAGTATAATGAAAAAAGAATATCCTTTGAGATTGTCAACCTTGCCTACCCTCTAGCACATTCAACTACATCCTGTATTTCTCTAAATTTCAAGGATTTGCTTCCTGTGATCTTCTTTGTATCCCACTGGCAGCATTAACCTGAATACAAATAGGAAATTATAAGACATTTCCCAGAGTCTTTGACAAGATAGCAAAACACTTCTCTTTCTTAGGAGCAGAAAGATATTTTTTATTGGAGTAAATGCCCCTGCAAAACTGGGCATTTTGCAGAAGGGTCCCTTCATGACCATGTGCCACAGTCTTTCTCAGTGCAGTCAACACACCTCCTCTTGCCTGGCCCTTCTGCTGGGCTGTCTGCAGTGTGGTCAGGCTCCCAGTTACTTCAATACTGTGTTTTAGATGCTCTTAATTTTATAACAAGATAGAGGTTGATCAATACTTCCTGCTACTTCCTGCCTTCTCTCACCACACTGGTTCAGAGAGTTATTAAATCAAAAAGTCCAGCCAGCTCTGTGAATCCAGCCCAGCACTCAAGGGTATGGTTATGAGGGATGCACAGGATGTACTGATCCTCAACTCAGGGTGAAGGAACAGCTTTTTGCTGCTCTTCATTTCTCTCTAGGAGAGAGCACTGATGAAGGAACAGACTGCAAGAACACGAGAGCACTGCCCAGAGATTTTGGGCTGTTGCGAGAAGATACCAGACAATAACTTAAGAAAATCTGCGCATTGGAATCTGAGGTTCAGAAGTGCTAATGGCCAGGATAATGTGTTATTTATTGCAAACAGGCATCTGGAGTGGCCTCAAAGGCCTGGATGTCCGACTGCCCTGCTACACGCATCAAAACCCCTCTTCAGAGTCTCAGTCCCAAATTCAGTCTCCAAAGCCAAACAGTGATGGTATCACATTCGCTTTTCATTTCTGTGTGGGCACTGTGCCCATGCAGTTATAACACAGCTGAGTCTGATTTTCATATAGTTCATTGTTTACTTATGATTTACTATAAAGTTGAGCTTGTCTTATTTATGAGCAGCCATGAAGATATGGGATTTCATCCACTGGGTGATGACTCATTCATTGGGTTGGACTCTTTAGCTCCTAATACGTGACATATTTTGGACTATTGGATGAACAGCATTTCTGCATGAGCCCAAATTAAATTAGGTGAATGGAAATAATTAGTTGTTTGTTTTTAAAATCATGTTTGTAGCTGTGTTTGTACTGGGTCAGCTCCGGGTTCATTCTAGCAATGTGCACGAGGGCAGGATGGGTTGCTGTACTCTATGGTGGAGAGGTGATGAGCAGCATTTCTGAGTCAGACGTCTAAACACGCCAGGGGCGACTTTGCTTTGTTTCTGTTGCACAAGGAAGAGCTTTGCGGTGATGGAGCATTTGATACTTTCTATGAACTTTAATGACTGCAAGATTTCTTGCACTGCTGCAAACAATTTGAGAAACTAATTTGTAAAATCACTCATAAAAATCTCATGTTCTTTCTGTAATAATAAAACTCCTCGGCTGGAAAAAGAAATACAAATCCTCAGAAAGAGTAGCTCAGCAGGAGTGTACTTCGGCCGCTCTTGTCTTGGGCATGCTCTCCCCTCCTGTGGGTGCGTCATGCCCCATGAGGTCAGCAGGAAGAATTCATGCACAGGCAGAAATATCGCCCCCGGTAACGCTCAACTACATAAGGAAAATGAAAAGTTTTAAAAGCCTTTTCCCCCTCTTCCTGCCCCCAGCTCTGAGGGATGGGACCAGGACCATGGGAAATGTCGGAGTAACTTTGTCGCAGTGAGAGGTTGTTACGGCTTACAAGTTTTTACAGCCAGGAGCCCTGCCAGCAGAAATTTATGCCTCCATTTCAGCAGTAACGATGCTTCCCAGAGCTGTCAGCCGGCAGCGGGCTGGGAGGCAGCAGTGGGGCGTGTGGGGGACTCGCCATGACATAATCACATTCCTGCGGCATGAGAAGATACTCCCAGGCCGCAGCAGGGGCAGCACAGCCCCTTCCCTGCTCCCACCCCATCACTGAGGTTCTCAAGGCCTGGGGAGTGCAAATGAACCCATCGGCTCTGCAGGCTTTGTGTGATTTTGGGGCAGAGTGGCTGGAAAGTTGCCCATTGGAAAAGGATCTGGGGATGTTGGTTGACAGCATCTGAGCATGAGCCCAGGTGAACTCAGGTGGCCAAGAAGGCCAGCGGCAGCCTGGCAGTATCAGTGACAGTGTGGCCAGCAGGACCAGGGCAGTGATTGTCCCCCTGTACTGGGCACTGCTGAGGCCACAGCTCAAATCCTGGGTTCAGTTTTGGGCCTCTCATTACGCAAAGACATCGAGGGGCTGGAGTGTGTCCAGAGAAGGGCAAGGGAGCTGGGGAAGGGGCTGGAGCACAAACCTCCTTGGAACTGGCTGGGGTGTTTGGCCTGGAGAAAAGGAGGCTCAGGGGGAGCTTATGGCTCTACAGCACCTGAAAGAAGATTGTAGCCAGGTGGGGTCAGTCTCTTCTCCCAGGTGTAACAAGTGACAGGACAAGAGAGGAAGCAGCCTCAAGTTACACCTGGGCAGGTTTAGATTGGATATTAAGGAAAATTTCTTCATCTAAAGCACTGTCAAGCACCGGAATGGGCTGCCTAGGTCAGTGGTGGAATCACCATCCCTGGGAGTGTTTAAAAGCCATGTAGTTGTGGCACTGAGGGATGTGAGTTAGGGGTAGCCTGGCAGTGCTGAGTTAATGGTTGGACTTGGTATCTTAGAAGGATTTTCCAGCAT